TGGGGCTGCAAGTGAGGCTGCTTATTGCTGACAGCATTAGCATTGTCTGACCTGTTCTGCATCCTGAAGCACTGGGCTTTGGTTTTGTCATTGACTCCTGCCCACATCAGGCTGTGTGCTTGAAGGGGTTCAGGAGATGGCATGTAGGAAGCTGGGTGGATCTGGGAAAGTAGGACTCACTATGTCATGTGATACCCAATTAGCTGGTGACAAGCAAGGCAGGTGGGGCTCAGGCTTTATCCCCTGTAGAGCCAAAGCTCATACCAGCAACCTGAACTCCAGAGGCTCCTTTCCTTCCTGCTGTTCCCCCTTTCCCCTAAGTCACTTGGGGGCATTGAGTATTGGATAGTCACTATTGTCTTGAGGTGTCCAGTGGGCACAGGGATGGTCTGGCACATCAGAACTCAGCATTCCACCATCCCACAGAGTAGACTGAGAGTTGGGGTGTGAATGTCAGTTGTTCTTCTTCCTGGGCAAGAAGGTGCCAGGGTAACATTGCCCCACTCTACTCTGAGGAAGTTTTCATACAGCTGGTCCTGATGCCACTCACGGTGTGAGGTCCTGGACAGTGTCTCCCTCACCTGGCCTGGAGAAACCTCATCCAGCCTTATGTCCACTTCTGTGTGTAACTGTGACAGCCACGATGGGGACATAGAGCTTGTCCTATCAGACAGACTAAGTACACCAGTGATCACATCATCCTTGTGTGGGATCACGTGCTCCACCAAATAATCACAATGCAAGCTCAGGGAAAGTGACTCGGAAATTTTCAGGAACGTAAAATCTGTTGACAATGCCTATTATTCAAGGATGCAAATCTCACTGTGTTTGCAGTGGCTCTTGTAAATAAGGCACATCTAATCACACTCCAGGAAAGCCTTCCAAGACCTCTCGATCAGCCCAGTCCCTCCAAATCTCTCTTAACCACCCCCCTTAACTAAGCCTGAGACCTCGCCTCCCCACTCTGAGGAACCCAGAAGGACTTCTGCCTGGAGTGGCTCTCTCTGAGGCTCACTCATGGTCACTGTGTGACAGCTCTTACCACAGCTTGGTTTGCATTTCTTTCTGTTCTTTTGTAACAGTGTTTTTTTATTCTGCGAACATTCCATACATGTATAGGATGTATATGAATCATGGCCATCCACCCTTACCTCCCTTTGGCTCCCTTTGGTGCTCCAGTCCTCTGTGTCTCCCAGTTTCATGTCTTCTCTTCATTTTACTAACAACACCCTGAGCCCAGTTAGCACCACCCATATGTACACTGATTGTGTACCATCCAGTGGAGCTGGCTACATCCCCAAAGGAGAGTGACTCTCCTTTCCCTCCTCCCTCAACAGACTTTAACTTGCCAATAGCTCCTCCAATATGGGTGGGGTCTTGGAGGTCCCTTCTCTGTTCATACTGGGATTTTTTTGTCTGGCTTGATCTTGTGCATTTCTTGGGCAGGTAACAGTAGCTACTATGAGTGGATGTGTGCAGGAACCACGCTATATCCAGAAGTCAGCATCTCACGACTTTCCTCCCCATCTTAACGTTCTTTCTACCCTCTCTCCTGTGGAATTCTCTGAGCTTGCGATGGTGGAAGTTTGGTGTTGATGCTCCATCCACAGCTGCGCACTCGGAGTTATCTAGACCCGGCACTTTGACCAGTTCTGAGCATCCCGACTTTCTTAAGTCAGGGTGATGTAGTGCCCATGGTGCCAACACGGGATCTTGTGTGGCAGCTGTGTTAGCTGGAACCCTAAGAGAAGCCCTTTCTGTTAATACATCTTCATTCTCTGGAACCCACATCCATTAGTTTTCCTTTATCTCTGCAAATCTCCCCATTAGAAGAGAAGAGAGGTTTTCCTTTCTCTCTGCAAATCTCCCCATTAGAAGAAAAGAAAGGGTAATTAGCAGCCTCAAACTGAACAATGCCTTGCAATGTTCAGTGACTATTTGGTGGTGGTATATGTTCATTTGCTCTGGCTCTGGAAGTCTATAACAAATATCTAGCAATCTGGGAGGGTGATATGCGTCCCGCTTCAGGGTTCTCTCTCAAGAGCCCTGTCCAGCCAGAACCATCCTATGCCATTGAAACATTGAATATGTGGCTAAACAGACATGGAGAGGCAGTGTATGCAACAACCTTGGTGACAGTAGATGTGACACACTTAGTCTGGAAGAGTGAACAAGGTGAGTATGGACACTAAAAAATTGAGGCTGGGAAGATGACTCATGGACGTGACTGACTACCTGCCATTGAGTGTGAAATGAGATGCATAAGGACATCTTGGTGGGGAAGGATCCTCCCTGCTTTCCAGCCCTGTGCAGTCCTGTTCCATTTCATTTACCAAGACAGAATTGCTGCAAGACTGTCTCCCTCAACTTCTGGGGGAGTGGCTGAGTTCACCCCTCATTTTTGTAAATGGTTTAATTTTCCAAACAAACCTAGAGAGTAGCTAGAGCCTTGGATATTTGAAATTTGTCAGGATTCCAGTTTTCCCTTTGTTTTCTCTTCTTCCTTCTGAAAATTTTTACTAAATTGGAAGGTAATTTTGGCTAAATTGGTGCCCCAATGGTGTTGATCATTGAAATCTGATCTTCCTTTGCAAAAATGGGCCAAATGTCACTTCTGTTATTGGGGGGGCTACATCCAAATGAAAGCTTTTTCAGCTTTTAAAAATGCACTAGCATGCATGTTGTGCAATATGTATATGCAGGCAAACACACATAAAATAAAAACATACATTTTTAGGAAATGTTGTAACAGCTGGGCATTGTGGCATGTGTCTTTAATCCTAGCATGAGGGAGGCAGAGTCAGGAAGATTTCTGTTGAGTTTGAGGCCAGCCTGGTCTAAAGAGCTAGTTCCAGAACATCCAGGCTTCTACATAGGAAGTGAGACCCTATATTTAAAAAATAAAAGTCAACCATTCTTAGCTTGCTGGCTACACAAAGGTCACTGTTTGCATCGGCACCTCTGGGTTCCTTGGTGCTAAATCCTTTTTATAGTTAAATAGCACCAAGTATAGGGAGCTGGGAGGTTGGCCCAGTTGGTAAAGTGCATGATGGGAAAACTTGAAGACTGAGTTCAACCCCCAGCACCATTTAAAAGCTTAGCATGGTAGTACATGCTTGTCATTCCAGCACTGCAAAGTTATGATCTCCGAGGTTTGCTGACTGCCTGGCCATCCAGATCAGTGACATGGAGAGTGACTGAGGGAGACACCTGATATCTACCTCTGGCCTTTGCACTCGCACATGCAAGCACACAAGTATGCATATACACATGCATGCACACACACAAATAATACTAATAACAGTGCCTTGCAGGGAATGGGACTTAGGTTAAACACCTGTAGCACTGATTAATGCTCATGGCATGCACTCTGCTAAATAGTTTCACAAACTTACCATATTCAATTATTAATCAGTTTCCACTTAATTTGGATTCATTAAACTAATTATTTGGAATCCATTCTAATGGTAGCATATTCTGAATAGTGGATTCAGTTGGCAAGTGGGAAGTACTGCTTCATGCCTCTCCCCATTAAAAGCCAGAGGTCCCATTTGTTGTTTCCTTTGACATCTGCTGAGCACCCTCTCTTGTTCTCAGGGTCACCAGCTCTTCAGAGGTACCTATCTAGTAAACTCAGGATGGAGATGCAGGGAGGAGAGGGGAAGTAGGAAGGGGAAAATTGGAATAGGCCCTGTTCTCAGTTAGTGTGTTGGTGGTTGTATTATTTTGGAAGTTGAAAGTCTAAACTCCATGTCCACATCCTAGTCTGTCTTGAAGGTTGCTGCAAGGTGCTTATTGTTAGTTGTTTTTACTCTTGCTCTTTTGGGGGGCCCACCACCCATCTCCCAAATAAATCACACATGGAGGCTTATTTCTTATAAATGCCCAGCCTTAGCTTGGCTTGTTTCTTGCCAGATTTTCTTAACTTAAATTATCCTATGTATCTTTTGCCTTAGGGCTTTTATCTTTCTCTCTTCCTGTATACCTTTATTTACTTCTTTCTCCGTGGCTTTCTGTGTAGCTGGGTGGCTGGGTGGCGGTCCCTGGAGTCTTCCTCTCCTTCTCTTTCTCATTCCTCCTTTTTATTCTCTCTGCCTGCCAGCCCTGCCTCCTTCCCTTCAATTCCATCATAGTGAGCCAGGCCTGGCAAGTGGGGTGACTGTGTTTACAGTCATCCTGATGGGGCAGGCATGGCAAGTGAGGGTCTGTGTCTACAGTCATCCTGATGAGGGCAGGCATGGCAAGTGAGGGTCTGTGTCTACAGTCATGGTGTGGTAGGCCAGGCATGGCAACTGGGGTGGCTATGACCATGGTCATCTTGGTTAGGCTGAAGCAAAAGCAGATAGTGATTTCAAGTCCCACCCTTGGCAATGCATTTCTGTTTAAGCCCACTCAATGGCACTGTGAGCATGAGGTGGCAGATCTTCCTACCTTGGTGGATCAGGAAGAAGAAAGCTCAGGGTAGAACCAGAAGCAGACACCACCTTCAGAACTGGCCCCTAGTGACCTACTTCTGATAGCTGGAGACCAAGCATTCAAACACAGTGTCCTCTAGAGGACACTTTGCATCTAAGCCATAATGGGGAATCTAGCATTCAGTATCTAATTCATTTAACAAAGTATTAGTTTGACAGCCCAGATTATTTACGGACATGAGTGCACACAAGTTTTCATTAATAGAGACTGTCTTTTGGAAGGAAGGTATCACACACAGTGATGGGGCGACAGTGAGCTACCTGTAAGAGTATTAAGTCAGGGTGAGGCGATGACAGTGCCTGTGCCTGATTCTAGCTGCAGAGACAATTGGAGCCTCTGCATGCTTCCAGTGCATGGCTCTGGGCAGCCACGTGGGTGGATCTGAGGGCTTTCCAAAGGCAACATGCTGTTATTGTTAGAGCCTTGACCACAGTCCTTTGTTTGCAGCTTTTAAATGAGCAGTTGTGGTTTTCGCTCTGTTGGGGCTGCAGTTGCTTGCACTCACGTTGGGTTTTGTCTTGCAGAAGCAAGTGTGAAGGCAAACGCTGTGAAGTACACGGAAGTGCTTGAGAGTCAGCTGCGCAGGTAAGGAGGGGCTCTGCCCCACAGACTCCCTGGATGTACCTGCTTGCTCTATTGGAATCCAGTAAGGAAAGGGGCAGGGCCAGCCAACCTCTACAGTGAGTTAACAAAGAAAAGCAGGAAAACGCCCTCTGCATCCCCAGGGGAAGGAGCAGGTGCTGTTCCAACATCTCCCCCTTGACAAAGCAAATAGATTAGAATGTTTAAACACATCTTGGTGAGAACACTGGGCAGTTTTCACATCTCAAAATGAGAAAAGCCTCTTTGGGTTACTGAGTTGAGAATTCATGCTACGGCTTGCTTTTCCTTTCTGTGTAGCCTCTGAAGGGGTCTTAAGGACTGTGAGCTGGTTTATGCACAGAACAATGTAGGAATGTACATTGCAGGTTCTGTTTTGAATCCCGAATCAAAACCAGCGTGAAAATTCCTGGTTGCTTTTTTTTTTTAACCCAATTAGGAATTCAGATTGGAGAAGCATTAGCGACGCTGCAGCACGTCAAGCTGTTTCTGGTTTTCGGGGATGTCTACTTCTGGAAATAAACCCCAGCCAGCGGGATCTGGTCCTAATTAAGGGAACAAGTTCGACAATGTAGTCTGTGCTTTTCCTCCCTGGCAGCCAGTTTGGTTTTATGGAAACATCTTGCTACTATTTTGGAAATTGTTAAGTGGCTCTGGAATAGATTTGCCTTCAACCTTTGTCTGCTGGGACAGTGCAGAGGCTTCTCACTTCAGGGTGAAGGGCCAGGCATTCATCCCAAGGGTGTGGGGTTAGCGTCAGGTTGCAAGCCAAGTCCTTCCACCCACCATCTGACCTTGCCACCCCTAGACCTGGAAGAAGCTGTGGCAGAGCTGGTCAGTGAAGAGTGGCTGTCAGGAGTGCACACAGGTAGCTCAGGGGCTCGGATCTGAGGCCGGCTTTCCTGCCCTGCCATGCGCTGGGAAGGGCATTCTGGCACGCCCTTCTCCGTCTTATTTCTGCAGTCCTCTTTTCAGGATTGCAAGGCACATGAGCATGTGACTTAACAGTCGCATTAGGCTCTTGGACAGCACACTGTTGCCCTAGAGCATGGGCACTGACAGACATCTCCCCAACTATGGCTCTGCACCGATGACTTACCAACCCTCAGGAAGAATTAGCTCTCCTTTTCCCCATTTGTTTATTCACTCTTCCTGTATCAGGGTTGGCATGTACATGCTGTGTGGTACACATGGTAACTTGCATAAGTCAGTTCTCTTCTTAGACTATGTGGCTTCCGGGTAACAAATGAACCAGGTCTCTGGGCTTGTCACCAAGTGCCCTTACCTATTGAGCCACCTCACCAGCTCATTTGCAGTGTCTCTTGCCACAGATGGGAGGAAGGTCTGTGTCTCTGTGGATATAAGTCAGTGGGAGGCATCCATGTTGGCTCCTTGTACTGTGGTGACCTGTGTATAGTTGCTCATCCTTCTATGAGTGGTCACCAGCCCTGCCTCCTATATGGGTTCAGGTTTCAAGCAGGCTTCCCTTTCCTGCACTCACTTGGCCTTGCCTCTTAGGTGCCCCACAGATCTACTTCCTCCTTGCCAGCGGAAGCATCTGCCTGATTGGATGACCATATGACCACCTCTGCTGTATGTGGCAGTTGCTTCCCGCCTCCAGGCTGGGCTCACCAGCCCGTTCCCTATGTGATCTGGTACATGCTCATCTAGGACTCAGATCGTCAGTCCTTTTCAGTAGCATCCTTCTGCCACCTCCTGCTGTCTTCTCGACATCCAGAGCCACAGCCCTGGTTTGCTGGGAACTCTGTCCAACTCTGGCAGGCCAAGCTCCGGAGAAGGAGCCTGCATCTCATTAAAGGCCAGACTTCTGTGCCGTGTGCTAAACCTCCAGTTACATTTAGTTTAAGAATCAATGGACCAGTGGCAGTTACCTCTTGAAACTTGATCTCTTGCTTGTCTGTTTTTATTTTATGTATACGGGTATTTTGTCTGTATCTATGCCTGTGCGTCACATGCATACACTGTCTGCAGAGGCCAGAAGAGGGCATTGTATTCTCTGGGACTGGAGTTTATAGATGGCTGTGAGCTGCCATGTGGGTGTTAGGAATTAAACCTGGGTCCTCTGGAAGACCATCCAGTGCTCTTAACCACTGAGCCGTCTCTCCAGCCCCTGGAACTTTATTCTTAGTTGTTGAGATTAAAAGTCAAAGCATCCCAGGAAAGTATAATGTCCAAACCCATTGCCTTGGCATCCAGCCTCTGTGACTCACAGTGGAATATTAAAAAACAAAACAAAGCTACTCTAAGGAGCCTTAGCCACTTACTGTCCCCCTCCAGGCTGTTTCAGAGGTGACAGCAAAGTGGGATGTGTTGATTTAGCTCTTTTCCCCCCGGGGCTGAATTCTACTTTAATTCCCATCACATAGTCTCTGTTAGCTTTCCAACTCAGTCAAAGGAAGTATTTTTAAAATCCTTACTTTTGCCTGTGGTTTTTTGAGATGATCTTTCTGTCACCTAGGATCCTTTCACTTCAGGCTCCCAAGGGCTAAGACTAAAGGTGTTCACCACAACTTTTCTTGGCTACAGGTTTTTACTTTGGGGCTAGAGAGATAGCTCAGTTGGTAAAGTGTTTGCTTTGAAGCCACGAGGACTTGTGTTTGGTCCCTATTGACAAACCAGCTATGGCGATGTGCACTAGGGAGACAGAGACAGGTGAATCCAGCCGCCTTGGACTAACTGGTGAGTTCCAGCCAGTGAGAGATGCCCCCTACTTCTCTCTATCTCTCTCCCTCACCCCTCCCCTACTCTAAAGAATTATGTATAATAGCCAAGGAATGACCCAGAAGTTTCTCTCTCTCTCTATCTCCCCCTCCCTCTCCTTTTCCCCATCCCTCCATCCATCCTTCTCCCTCCCTCTCCCTCCTTTCCCCCTCTACCCCTCTCTTTCTTTTGTAGATGAAGTACTTTATTATAACAATCTCATATCTTATGTTTGTAACCACTGTGGCAGAGAAATCCCTTTGTCCAATGAAAAATTGCTACCTCTGGTTGGCAGGGGCCAGTTTTCACCTGTTCCCATCCCAGGATGTACACACTGGCTTTCTCTACACCCACGGAGTCCATTGTATGCATGGTTGCGGGGGGGGGGGTATTCTTTACCTTTCTAGACTGCCTAGGCTCGCTCTGCTTTGTTTTCCTGGAGTTGGATCTGAAACCTTTGCTGCAAACCATCAATGCACTTTCGTGGCTGCTGATTTATTTTTGTGTCCTTGCACGCTACTTCATTTCTCAAGTGTTTACTTGAGGGTGAGTCAGACTTTCAGAAAAGATACTGGTTTCTTCTCTGGATGCAAGGGTACTCAGGAACTCCTTGTGTGCCTCTGGCTCGTGGTAGGGACACACAGGAACTCAGTCATCTTATCTGAGATTTATTTTGAAATTAAGAGCTTGATACCTTTTTTTTCCCTAAAGGAGAACGGTTCTTAAAAAACAACAACAGCAACAACAAAAAAACTAATGTTTACCTACTAATTATCTGGAAATTTCTAAATGAATTCCATCAAAGGCAATGGTAGCCAGGCAGGTTACTCAGCTAACAAATCCCAGGAGGGTTCAGTAGTAGAGGTGATCAGGGCCAGAGAAAGCCATGGAGTATCTAACGGGGCTCCAGGATACATTCTCAACCTGTTCACAACAGTCTGGCCCCAGTGCTGAGAGTCAGAAAAATGGGAGCCACAAACTGTACCTAGCAGTGTCCTGAGCCTCACATGGTACTCAGGGAAAGGCCTGATTGTACCTCACAAGGCCCCCAGAATCTGTCACTCTCTGCCACAAACCGGTCAGTCACCTGCTCTCTGACAGTAACTGAAGCAGTTGTTTCCAAAGGAACAGGGAGAAGGTTCTAGAATTGATGGGGGGATGTCCTTTGTATATATGTAAGCCAAGACCATGTGGAAATATATAGATTTATAGAAATGGGTTAATAAGTAGCCAATAAGTAGCCCTAATCGTTGGCCAATAGTTTAATAATTAGTATAGCATCTCTGTGTGTTTATTTGGAGCTGAAGTGGCAGGACCCAGTCAAGTAACATCCACAACATCGAATTTCTATATCATGCTTCCATTTTACTGGTTGAGATTTTTATATCTATTAGTGTCACATGTGTATGGTAGCACATGTATACCACATATGCAACAAATCCTGGAGGGCTTGGTTCAAATGATTTGATTCAGTGGACACATGATAAAAAACGAGAGACACATGGAAGAGAATGTGACTTGCTTTCTCAGCAAGGGAACTCCCCATTCCCACCTGCTTTGTCTTCATATCAGGAAGGAAGAGCAGGGGTGAACCTTGGAAAAGAAAAGTGGGTAGCATGTGATCCATCCCAGCATGCAGCACCCAGCGGTTCCAGCTGTTCTGACTGATCCATCCCCCTATCTACCTCCTAACAGGAGTTTGGCATAGTGGTGTGGAGTCCTTTGAGGTCCTTCAAATGGGTTCTTATTCCAAGCCACGCAAGGTCCTTGGCATCTGGAAGAATCCGTTTCAACCCACGTTGAATGTATTCCTAGTACTATGGATGGAAATGATTGTAAGCCCAGTAGCTGGGAAATACAGAGCTAGCTGCCCCAGGAGCCTGTCACCCCACACAAAGGAGAGGAATGCAGGTGTGTGGATGCCTGACAGCCTTAGATAGAGGGACGTTCAGTTTTCTTTCCTGATCAGTGTCTACCTTCACCCCTAATGGAGCTCTGTGTTCAGCTGTGACTCCGTTGGACAGGAGCAGGACCTAGGGTACAGGGGCTGGAAGAGGCAAAGCTCTTTAGGTCTCTAATTTGGCCAAAGTTCATCTTTCCTGCAGGGCACTGTTGAGCCTTCTTCATGTGACTCCTTCTAACTTTCCTGTCACCTGTCCACCTCTCCTTAGCCTCAGACCGTGTTACCCAGAGATCTGCCCTGTCCATCCATGTCTTGCCTTCTCATCACTTGCTTGCCTCTGAGTCATGAGCCTCCTGCCTCA